AGGGCAGAGCCTTCAACACTTCTGAGCCGCATTCTTTTGCACCCCAACACTCCCGGATGTAAGCCCATTGCATCCGTGTCCATGCATGAGAGGCTTGACAGTCTTGCGTCTACTGACATCCTTCATTGCAATTCGACAGTCCCCAAGCCCTCGGCCATCTCCATGAACAACCAGATCATCCCAGTCTCTGTTATTCTATTTCTCTTGGTACTTTCAAGACAAGTCACCACTTGTCTGGTCTGTGTACTGAAAAGACAGATAAACGAGGGTTCGAAAAGCAAGTGCTGCAAGAAACCATGAGAAACAACATGAGGATGACATGATAGGATTACGCAAGCCTTGGCTTGCAGAAACTGCAGTTACAAGCTGGTTGCTTCATTTTCTATGGGTTTGTTGGTCTCTCATTTGCTGCTTTGATATAGTTTCCCTATCCCATCCAATTGGGCTGGGATGTACCTTTCATCACTTTCCAACTTTTTTGCTCATGGCGCTTCTTGCTGTCGTTTTCCCAATGAGTGTCGCGTTTCTTGTCTCTGAGTTGCTCCCACTTGCTTCCCCCGTTACCTTCATTTACGGGATGAAAGGCGGAACCCAATCAGACAAAAAGTAACCATTTCTCCCGAATAAAGACCCTTTTTCAAGAGAGCCCGAAGTCCTGTAAGACTACTGCTTCAGAGGGCCAACATGACTTTGAAATGACCCAGAGAGGACAATGACGTTGCTATGAATGTCAAACTAGGTCGGTTCTAAGGGAATTAAGGGGCCACTAAACGGAACAATGAATGCACAGGGATCTCCTTGATTTCTTAGCAATGTATCCTTTTAGGTGTTTAGCAACAAATTAGAATACCAGAGTCCAAGCAAATCTCATTAGCCATAGTGATCTCCCTTATTTCCTAGTTCGTCAATGATTATTTAGGGCTTGTGTAATAAGATTAAGACAGAAGAATCTAAGGAATATCAAATGGAATTGGAGATCTTCTTTCTCTAGTAGGTTTTTAATGAATTTGCTAGATGTTTTCTACATGAAGTCTAATTTGAATATGAATCTCCTTTCTTTCTATAGACCTTTCATGATTTCGGGGAGGTTCTGTGGCAGAACGATTGAAGGACATCTACTTAGAATTAGGGATCTACTTTCCTTCCTAGGCTTTTCTTGTTATATGTTTCTACGTAAGGTATTTAAAAATGAGCTCGAAGAAGGGTTGCACTTGATTTCTTAGCTTGTTACTTGTTTAAACCATTTTTTGTGAAGGAGTTTGTGAAAAAGAAGGTGCAGTATATCAGATTAGATTTGGGGACCCCCTTGAATTTTTATGCGGGTTTAGCAAAAGATGTACAACGCACGTGACGATTAAATGATTAGTCTTAAGATGCCTGGAGCTACCCGCGACAAAAACAAATGAAGCGGAAACCAGATGGGCCGGCACCATTCTTTGCAGTGGAACCCCCCCGCTGATGAAACCTACGGCGTGGCTTCATCTCTCGGGAGGACGTTGTTTCTCGTTATAAGCTGAATGAAGAGAAGCAATTCGCTATATAAGGGGAAGCAGTTCAAAACAACGTCAGATTAAGTAAAGCAATCAGAAAAAGAGAAACTCCACTCAGACCATGAATCATGGGGTACGCACAAAATCAAAAGCCGCTTTGGAGACCATACTCACGAGCATCCCAACCTGGAGGCCCACCTTTTTTGCAACAGGCTTGCAAAGCGCTCCAGCTGGAACTCGCATCACCAGTTCCACGAACAAGGCACACAGTTTCGAGAAAAAGTCCGTTACTCTTTTCTCTCTGCACGCAGTCGATTTTGAACATCGCCTGGATATCACGGCTCCTGGCTCGGAGAACTGTTTCGGAATCGCTCGGCTTGAGCCTGTCTTCCCGCAGGAGCCATAATTTTGCCTCTCGATTTTGTTGATGGTTATGTTCTTGGTGGATCTCAGGGAGCGCAGTTGCGTGCGCTGGAGAAAAAGCTTGCATAACATGATGATGACCGGCAGCGCTGGCAACTGCAGACTGAAAACAGTCCAACCCAAGTGTCTGAATGCTTGAATCCTGCCATTGTGATTGAGCAAACCTCTCGGTAACCCGCCTCATGAAATCACCTGGAATTTGGCTCATGATATTGCAGGTGAGAGCTCGACACCTTGCTCCAGAGATGATGTTGGCAGCAGTCTGCATGTATCTTTGAATTGTCCACTCTGATAGCATCGTACAGGTTGATAGCACAAGCGCTTAGGTCTAACAAAAACTCGGTAGGAAGGTTCGGTTCGGCAGTGTCCCCAGTTGTCAGATGATAGCGCAATGCTGAACTCAAGTGATGAACCGCCTCCGCTTCGATTATTCGGCTAGAGAGTTACAGTGGTCACCCAAGTGAGAATGTGAGCTTCTTTCGCTGTCCCCACTCAAATGAATTAGGCTGCCCATTTACGCCTTGTAGGCTCGAGTCCCGGCTCAAGGCCGTGAGGCCCAAACGGGCAGCTTGATTAAGTTGAATCATTAAGAAGCATGCCTTTTCATTTCCCTACTTCAACCTGGATTTAAGTTAAAAGGTGCCAAAATGTATAAAAGGATCTAGGAGTTTCAAGGTATCAAACATAAGCTTTGAGACGCTGTGGTCAGGGTTCGCAACCATCCCTGGGTACACAAATATATAATTCCGGAAATCAGGCGACCAAAGTCTGTTTACTTCAGGAAGATAACAGCCTCAAGGAGTCCACTTGTAAATACCGACAATGTTTCTGCGAACCCTGCAAACGCGGCAAAAGTCCCAGGGTCCCTGAACAAGCTACGAATTCCAAAGCCCAAACCTCAAACCTTCATCGATAAATCCCAATCCCTAGGCCCCCTGATCCTCAAACCTTAACCCCAAGACCTAATCCTCAAACTCTAACCCATAAACCCTAATCCCAGGCAGTGTGACTAGTTCCTAAGCCCTAAGCCGCTCTAAACCTTCAACTAATCACCCTAACCCCCGGAAGTGTGACTGGTCCTACACGGCTTCGTGACCCCGAGGCGTTGTCCGGCCCCTTAAGAAGGTTTGTGCTTCTCGCTGGCGCCCATCTTTCCTGCTCCCCTTGTCTTCCAGTGCTAATGCCTGACGAGCTTTTGTTGGCCTCGGCTTGCCCCTCAAGTGTTGGTTCTGCTAGACCCATGCCAGACGGTTTAGACCACGGGATGTTTTTAAGATTGCAGATGGAATTGAGGCGGGCAGAAAATCAAATGCAACATGGGAATTCAGCGAACGACGCGACCATTCACAAGCGACGACAGTTTATTATGAGCATAGCGTCCCCGAGGCCGCCCATGCTTGCGACTTGTGACCACGATTCACTACGGAGTGGCTAGGAGGGTCCGATGCAACCACAAGCGGGGGCTTCGCACACACAACTCAACAGAAAAGGTAGGGAGATCCCACGCAACGATCAGGCAGAATAATGGACACGACAGGAGGAGTAGGAAGGCCTGACGCAACCAGAAAGCATGTGTTGAGTCATACCGCGACCATACGAGGGTAGTGAACATAACAACAGGGGAGGGAGGCCTGATGCAACAATTGGTCATGATGATTTTGGTACCATGGCCAACAGCGGTCCGCATCATTTCAGGAGTATGGACAGTAGGGAGACTTCATGCAACCATCAGTGTTTCCACTGATGGGGAGGTTGCCTGCAGCAACCAAGCATGACGAGTCTGGTGATCCCGCAGGGGTGGTGGACACTGCCGGCAGACATGGAGGTTCGATGCAACCATCATCCTGCCGCTGCTACAACTGCTGCTTCTGCTGCTACGGTGGCGTCGAAGTCGAGGACAGCCGTGGTATCTAAGACAGCTGCAGACAAGCCCGATTACAACAACCATGGCGTCCGGCGGTCATGCGAGTCTTCGAGCCTTCTTTTGTGCATATCTTAATCCGGGGACTGAGGACGGCTGACAAGCTTGTTCATCTTCTCACTTGCGATGAATGCTCGTAAAGCTTGCCCTGTCCGTCCAAGGTATGCCTGTGCGCGAAGCAGTCCATCGGCTTCACAGGACTGGCTTTAAAAGCAGTGCGCTTTTGCTTTTTGGCCTTTCAAAGATCTTCAGTGATGCAACCCTCTAAAGCCCTTGCATGGCGCTCCACCGGACTGGATGATGTCAAACACCTCTACTACAAGGTGCTCAGCATACTCGCTACTGAGTGCCACTCCTGCTCGTTGTGAATCTACAGATTCTGCAACGAACCAGTAAGCCATACTACCGCCCTGTGGTTCCCCCGTAACCAACCTTAATCGGGTTGCTGTTGAGGAACTTGCATTAAGATACTCGAACAAGGGTGTATAGGGTTTACGGCTACAGTCTTTGGGTTTAAGTTGCTACAATGGGAGAACCATATGAAATACTTTATATACCTTTCTGCCGTTCGCTAAAAGATTGTCCTGGAAATCAGCTAAATAAAAACGTCAACTTAACGTCCCTTCCAAATCAACCGTTGAGTCACCTGGGATTGAAACAGAGAGCTTTGGAACAACCCCCAACTGACTCAGGTACACCTCAGAAAGCCCGCATCCAGTCCTGAAACAACTCACAAACCGACTAAAGAAAACTCAAAAAAGTCTGTATATAAGGGTACAGGGGCAGGGGCGTGGAAGGGGGGGGGCAAGGAATGGGCGCAGGAAGATCTGGAGAATAGACTGTTCATCGAAAAAAGACGTAAACAAACCCCTAAAACGTTCTCACAAGTCTCCAAAAAGTCCTCAAAAAGTCACCGAAAAGCCATCCAAATCATCATGCTGCTTTGACGTAACTAGAGAAAGACTAGTTTGGAGACTTGCATCCTGACCTGGTCATAGACCTTCTTCTAGACAAGATTTTAACCTCTGGGTGCTTGTGTCTCCGAGCGGTCGACATTTGGATAGACTTATTGTAGGCTTTTAATTGCTTTGTTCACACGCCAGGGAATAGCCTATCTGAACGACTTAAATATACCAGTCTGGTATCGCAGCGAGGACAGTGCACCATCATGGCGAGAAGAAGCCGTCGCCATAGCACAGGGGGTGCTGCAAGGTTTGAATCAACAGACACATCAAAACTGTTTCGCAGACCGGGCCTGGAGTGCCAAGATTCACGGTGCAGTTGACAAAAATCCCAGTCTCACTAGCCGCCGCAGTCGCCTTTGGCGGTAGGCCTCGCAAGCCCCAGAGCGGCTGTAGCGCGCCAAGCTTCTCCTCCTGCACACCCCACACGCCAAGCCGACCATCCCCGGCTACGCTCAGCACACCTGCGCTGAGCGCTTGGAGTGTTCGCCTCAATCTGCGCAAACACGGAAGCAACCCATCATGCAGCAAACGCAATGCCACACGCGGCACTCGCTGAGGACTTGCAGCAGCGAAGGCAATCTAAACGCTCATGATGCTTCACTGTTTGTCCCGAATGCAAAGGAGAAGGGGCCCTTGATTTTAGTCTTGGCGTCCGGGGGAATGAGTCCTGTGCGGCTCGGGGGTTGGGGTTTACTCTGCCTCTGCTACTGCTGCTGCTGCTGC